AATAAATAAATATATTCTATTAAGTTTAAGTTTATTTACTTTATTAATTAATCCCCTGAGGGGAAATTCAATGTTTTCACTCTTGCTTGTCAATTACACACAGGTCTGAAAGACACACACATGCACAAACAGGACCTATACATGCACAAAGTGGAGAGATGTCAGAGTGAGGGGGGCTGCCCTTTGGTCAGGCGCCCCGAGCGGTTGGGGGATTCGGTGCCTTGCTCAAGGGCACCTCGGCAGTGCCCAGGAGGTGAACTGGCACCTCTCCAGCCACCAGTCCACGCTCCATATTTGGTCCGGACGGAGACTCACGGGGCCAGAACTGGTCTACCAGAGGGTCCAGTCTGGCCCACTCTTCAACCTTCTGGATGAAGGTTTTCAAAATGTGCTTTTACTTCTTCACACTAAAAGAGTATTATTTATAGGTTAAATCTGCAGTGGTTTTCCAGGTGCGGCCCACTTGAGATCACACTGGGCTGTATGTTGCCCATGAACTAAAGTGAGTGTGACACCCCTGATAAAGGCCTTAATGCATTCAAACACTTAATCCCCAACAAACACTGACATGTAAAACTGGACATAAATATGTACCGTTACATTAATCAATTAATTTATGTACCATTTTTTCCCCTGTTAAAGGGAGTTTTTCCTGATCAGCTGAGAGGGTCCTAAGGACAGAGGGATATCGTATGCTGTAAAGCCCTGTGAGGCAAATTGTGATTTGTGATATTGGGCTTTATAAATTAAATTGATTGATAGATGTATACATATGTGTATATTTGTGTATATATACACATATGTGTGTGTCTACCAAAAAGTCATAATTACAACTTTTCCTTTCAGATATATCAGCCTACTGAACCTCCAGAAGTGCCTCAAAGAAATCAATAGACATGGCTGCCTGATGCCAGCCAGTAACTGTCAAGGTAATTTAACCCCTCTTTAACCTCCAAAGATTATTCTTTAGAACTTTAGTAACTCATGTCAGTGATTGTCAGTATTTGTAATCCTCAGACTCTTAATTTGAAACCAATAAACAGTCCAGAGGATGAAAACTTTCAAATCTTATTCAAAATATGACATTAAAAAAACCCCAAAACTCTCATATGAAATTTGTGAGGAGTTTCTGTCAGAGTCCAAACATCACATGACACTCAGCTGACCCATATTGCACTTGTTTATTTGACAGCAGAAGCAGACGACACACAGTGGACTCAGACTCTGCAGCGGCTGTTTGCAGTAACAGGAAGTTTCATCACGTCTGCATCAGGAGGAACATGGAAGACGCTGACCTTTGACCCTTTCAGGTTGGCTTTACATTGAAAACAGACAAACAAACAAAGTGAGATAGTTCATCAGAGAAGAGAAGAAAAATAATCTCTTTAAGTCTCTTCAAGGCGCAGATGGCTTCGTCTTTGTTTCCCCCCAGAAGGCCTCAGTGGTCGAGGATCCGCAGGTTTCCTGAAACGATCTTGTTCTCCAGCATCGCTCCGGCAGGGATGTCGATCCTGTCGCCATGATTGGCTATGATGATGACGGTTCCCTGGTGAGGGTAGAAAGGTTTTATTAATAAACACAGTGACGTCATTTTACTGGTTTATTGTTTGTGTGGAGTGGAGGAGGTCCTCAGATCCTTTACTTCAGTAGAAGTACTGACAATACACTGTGGCCCAAATCACTCACCACTCCATGATGTTGATATGACATATTTTCATTGTGCAACAGCAATGATGTAATAAACGGCGCAGAAGAAAATGACCTGAGTACTGTCAGAAAGTGTTCTTTCATGTTTATATAGTCCTCTACATAGAGCTCCCTGTATAGTGAGTTATGGAAGAGTGAATGAGTGAATGATTTCAGACACAGCCTGTGAAAATACTCCGCTACAAGTAAAAGTCCTGTACTGAAAGTGCTACTTAAGTTAAAGTATGTAAATATAATCGGAAAATGTATGTAAAGTATCAAATATATATATACAGTACAGGCCAAAAGTTTGGACACACCTTCTCATTCAATGCGTTTTCTTTATTTTCATGACTATTTACATTGTAGATTCTCACTGAAGGCATCAAAACTATAAATGAACACACGTGGAGTTATGTACTTAACAAAAAAAGGTGAAATAACTGAAAACATGTTTTATATTCTAGTTTCTTCAAAATAGCCACCCTTTGCTCTGATTACTGCTTTGCACACTCTTGGCATTCTCTCCATGAGCTTCAAGAGGTAGTCACCTGAAATGGTTT